ATTGGAATGATGGAGAAATTCACTCTCGCTTTGTCTTCTACGGCAAGGACAGGACAGGACAGGACAGGAACTGATTCAATCTGGGGTATTGAAAAAGGGGTCGACTCCCTCGACGATGGACTGTGCACTCTTGCCGCTCAAGAACGCAATCACTTCAATTCCAAGACTCAAAGCCGCTTGGCAGAGCAACCAAACATCAACCTCTTTACCCATTGTTCGATATGACCCAGTCCCGGGAGATCAAGATTGTCATCGCCTCAACCCACAACACACGTCCGTCCAGCAGAAGCAATCACAGAAGAATGACGTGGCCTGGCTGCCTCATGCTCCCCGTCAAGTCATTGACGACGTGCCTGTTTGGCAACAAAGACGTCCCGAGACAGCCCGATGAGGGCTTCGAGCCGTTGCTGGAGGAGAGAAGGGGCTTTGCAGTGAAGCGGGAGGCATCGTCACTGCTTCGGATGACGACACCACGACCGCCGAGAAAGCTCTACTCGGCTCTTTAAACCCGTAGGAGAGGGAGGCTATGAATATCAGGGGACGTGCATACAAGGGCGGTGCTTCGAGGCACTATGGATGAGGATTCATCTTTCAAGATGAGACGGCAAATACATTACACAACACAACGACACTGAATGATTACGACACAAGGGAAGGAAGAAGACATTGCTTGAACTCGATATATGGAACATACATCATGCGATTTGGAAATATTCGGGACGACCTGGTTACAGGTTGGGAGTATTGAGATGGATTCTGGAGATGAGGGCTCGGGACGAGGCATATGAGAGCAGATACTTAATAAGGCACATGGTTTAATGGTACTTGTTGTATTTTGATTGCAAATCTGGGCCTGTAGCAACGACATAAGGCCAGTCGTTCTTTCAACAGTCGTTTCTTGACCAAGCATGCGAACTACACCTCGGTCAATGTCTCATATCCAACAATGGGGCTTGGATATTACAATGCTACTATAGTCAATCGTTATCTACAGCATGATGTATACGGCCAAGTTCGTATGAGCACCTTGGAGCCAAAATGTGTCAGAACTGCTGCAACTGGCCATGTTCAGAGCAAAGAAACAACCCCTGGAGCCAACGGTCGACCTGTCACTTCATTCTGAAACGAATTTACTCTACACTGGATATACCCGATACCGCATGTCAACTCCTACCTATCAATGGTCCATCATCATAACAGTCAAGAGATGGGCACATGGCTATTGTGCCTCTGGCAATATACCGAAGATATCAAACAACTCGGTCTTCAACAAGCATCTAAACAGACCACGCATTCGCCATGCGAGATACGACGTGTTCTAACCTATACAATGTCCCAGACTGATCCTGAGCGAGACACCCAAAATTAGAATGTCTTCGTATCGACTGTCGAAGAGACATCCTTGAACGAGTCCCCGCCGACCCCGCGCGGGACGGACGCGGCCGCAGATTCCTACGCATCTCTCGCGTGTTTTGGTCGAAACGGGTATGGGTGTTCAGGTGAGGATGGGTACCTTTGATAAAGTGCGTACAGTCTGAAGCAGAGGGGAGTAATATATTCATCTGCCGACATGTGCGCAAGTGTTGCGTGCAGGGAGGAGTAGCTGTGATGTTCTTGGGACCTGAGAAGATGGCATGGCTTGCAGTGAGTTTTTATGCAAATGATGTAATTAACGCAAGGATTAAAGAAGTCAGAATCACCCTAGCTTGCACTTTAATGGTAATTGGACGTTTCTGTGTTGATTCGTTCAGCGTTGGTGGCATGTTGATGTGTAAGTGCCAGCGAGAGTATCGGTGAACTGGCAATGATACAAGGCCATGTCTATCTCTGTACGGTGCATATTGACCAGCAAAAAGCCAAACATGAACATACTAGATGTCTTGCTCTCAATTAATTCCTCGAGGATTGAGTGTCTGGTCGTGACATCTGCAAGGTTGCCCTGCGAAATGCACAGTGCTGAAGACACTTGACACAGTATCACGCACTGCCACCTCAACAGCTGACGCCCCATCCTCCTGACAATTCAACCTTGACATGAGGATCAGGATTGCATCTGATACAGCTTGAACACTTCAACTATGATCCCTTCCATGCGCAAACTCGGCATTATTCACTTCTTCCTTCGTGCGGCGCCAGGATCAATCCTTCTTGCACCGATGCGCCTTTTTGGACATGGCTGATGAGGACAGTATGAATTTGGTCTTACGGGCCTCTGCAGAGCCTTCTCGTCTCAGGTCATGGTGTTTGCTGCAGGAGACCGAGTCCGAGCAACATGGATCGACCGAGTAACATGGATCGACTGCCGAGTCCTCGCTATGGCCATCAGTGCACGCGGGAGAGCATCGTTCCCGCACTCCACTCAGGTAAGGCCAGCGACAGGCCCGTCAGTAGATAACCGTCGCCAGGGCCAGCCCGCTCGAAGCGACGGGTCATATCTCGAATTGGTCCCATGGGCAACGCAAAGGGCAAGGTTGGGAATTGAGTCACCCAGAGCGGCTGGGACCTGAACTTCAGCCTCAGGGCTCTCTCTTGCGGCTGCAGTGTTCCGGTGGTGATGGTGGTGATACAGCCTGGCAGGGCGCACCACGCGGCTGGCAGTTGGATCTTCCTCTTACGACCTCGAGATGCAGCCTGCCGTGTCTCATTGCTTTGCTCCTCTTGCTGAAGCCGGCCAGACGACGCTACTGTCACGCTACAGACCGCCATAGCCTCGAGTCGTACCCGTACCCGGCGTCCAAGACTGCCTCCGGGTACCGACCCTACCCATGCTGGATCATCTATCTTTGGGCCTCGAACATGAACCAACGACGTGCTGAACGGCTGGGCTGGGTGTGGAGCTCGAAACGTCGCACAAAGAATACGAAGGCCTGAGTTGATGGGCCTGAATAGCATCAGCCACATGGTGTCTGAACCAATGGGCGCACTACCAAGAACCCGGCATATGTGAGCATCAGTTTGCCTGCTTGCAGCTTGCGGTGGGCATTGCCTTGCACGCTCCACCCAGCACAGCACAGCAGCACTGATCCCGGCGTGCATCTGGAATCTGGACCAACAACATGCCATGATGAGTCGCAAGCGGCATACAGTGGGAACGGGGCAACAGAAGGTCGAGATGCAGAGAGACTGCATGGTCGCACCGTATGCGTCACGAGGTATTTGATTTGACCTGTCCTACGCCAAATCATCATGGTGATTCAAATTGCTTGCAGACGCAACTCGCTCTGGTTCGGTTTGGCTTCCGTATCCGGGCTCGCTGAACTCTGTCGCCGTCTGATCAAGCCTTCGAATCCGGTGATTCGGAACTGAAGTGTATGGAAGACGGGCCTTGTCGTGCTACAAACTCACTTCAACTCCCACTCCCTTTTTATTCTCGCTTGCCTTACTTCAGGGTCATGTGAAACCTTTTCTCGGCCTTTTGTTCGTTTCATCTTCTTCAGCCGTCTGCGCTGTGCGCGACACCATCCATCATGTTGAACCGGCCGGGTTTCTTGATACGAAGGCTTATAACCCCACAACGGTCGCAGCAGCCCAGGGAGAGGGAGCGCGAGGGTAGAGGCAACGACAATGACAATAGAAATGACGACAACGATTTTACTGATTCTTGTGAGGAACTGAGTTCCTGCTGCGCCAAGAAGTCGACGCAAAGAAAGGCGAGGGCCACAAAGTCACGGCTGCCCATCCCCAAGAAGAAGCCTCCCGCGGCGGCGCCAATCACCATACAAAGGATACACAGCGTCCATCGCATCTCGCATCCAGTTCCTCCTCCCCCGGCTCACCGCAGTCGGTCCGTCTCGACAGTCTCCCTTCGAAGCTGCGAGGGGCAGCGAGCTGCTGCCCTTGACGCTCTCACGGGCAATGTTCCTGTTCCCGCAAATAGAAGGGCTGCATCCGGTCTTTGTCTGGCAGAGGCACAGCACGGCCGAGCCCACTCACATTCCTCACGGCATGGACCGTACGCGCAACCTCCTCGCTCCAGGAATGGGCGCCCCAGCCCTGCCAGTAGCGATGCACACCTCTACAGAGATTCGCCGAGGGCCCCAGCGACTGTTTCTTTGTCTGATCATAGCGCTGATCGCCGCGAGGTTGGGCCAACCGACAGCCTGACTTCGCGCAGTAGATATGGTAGTCAAAGCTCGGGCGAGTCATCAGACACTGTCGACCGCCTGATCAGAGAGACGGATGAAGCCTTCATAGCTGTTGGTTCCGCACTTCGAGATGCACGACATGCCTCGCAAGGTTCTGCGCTGTTACACACGCCCCCATCACCGCCGTCACCACCATCACCACCTGGACTTCCTGCACTTCACAAACACTCAAAGTCGATGCCTCTACCAACGGGTTTCCCAAGGCATCCCAGATGGAGGGAGGAATCATCGTCGTCTCCGTCCCCACGGTCATCACCAGACAGACGGGCCTCAGTGAAGAAACCTCAAAGAAAGAAGAATCCTCACCAACAAGGTGGGCACCGTTTCTCAAAATCACCAATGCGAGCGCCACGATGGACCCTGTCGGAGAATGTGACAGACATTCTGACGGGCCAGCGTTTCAGGCGGGTTGAGGCCGATGAGATGTTAACACCCGATCGAATTGAGGCGCTGCGAAGGAAGAGGGAAGAAGCGCAACAATTGGACGAAGAGCGCCTAAAACATCGATACTCGAGCGACTCGGTCCGCAGTATGGCATCAGATAACTCCGAGACAGACGTCGAACCATTCCATCTTGATGAATTGGCATCTCGGATTGGAGCGAGCACTGTGGGGAACTCTGCGGCCTCTGCTCGGACAGCATCTCCCTCGCTGACCCCTGATTTGGATCGTGGAAATCAAAACTTTTCGAAACAAGAGGGGTCGATGGGGGATGATGATGAGTCTATCAAGAGCGTCAAGGATAAAACAGAAGCTGCGGAAGCCCCAGCTTCAGTCACACCTCAACTACCACCAAAGAACCCTGCACGATTCGGAGTAGAGCCTCTACGAAAGCTCCCATCAATACCTGAAGTCATGGTAACGACACCGGATAACACGCAGCTTGAGCCGTCGACGAGCCGACAAAGCCTTGACAAGACGGACCTCAAGGCAGAAGAGAGTGATGAGTTCTTTTACCTCAAGAGCACGCCTTTCACACTTACAAAACCTTCATTCCGTCATGGTCCCATCACATTTGCAAAATCCGAGATGGTCAAAGGGATGAAGACAATGGACGACACGCTAGACTGGACAGCGTTCCAGATGGCGATTCTAGGAGGAGCTGGAGACTTACTTCAGGACATGTCCAACGAAGAAGACATTAAGCAGGTCGAAGAGATCACGTCGTGGTTCGAATCGTTCGGGTTCGAGACGTACGGAACGCTGGTGCCCGAGGACGTGCCGTCGATGCGGTCCTCGTCCCGCAGCACGGTATCGTCAACGCCTTCAACCATCGACACGGACATTGACCTGCCGATCCCGGTGGGTGCTGAGTTTCCTTCCGGGTTCTGGAACGCCCCGGCCCCCAGCGACGCCGTGGACATGGACAAGAAGGCTAAGTTCTTTAACAGCACAGGGCTAAAGCGATGGGTGGGCGAAGGTCGCCCCAAGCGCCCTTCGTCGCACAGCTCGGTGGAAAGCTTACCACCGAGCCCGATGATGCCGCTCGTGGTTCACATGGCCGATGGCGAAGACGATACTACTACTCCGGAGACGGTACCGATGGGATATAATCTGGGTCACGACCTAGGCGACTTTTTGCGGTGGGAGGCGGAATATGTGTGTGCTTCTGGGTTTAGCACGTCACCTTGAGGGTTTGACTTGCGTCCATTCTTTTTGTTTTTGAGTCTTATTGATACCTTTGTGTCTTTTGTTGGAGGAGGGTTGACGTCTGCATGAGATGAATCTATGGATACCTAACGCATAGGAGGCGCTTGAAAGCATTTGCAACAAGGAAGAGGAGGAAGGGACATGAGACCTTATGGCCAGACATGTTGATATGATATATAATGCAGATAGACGAATGAAAAGAAGACGATGTTTATTGATCAGCCCCAAGACGCTTCGCTTCGGGTGCAGGTAAGCAGGCCAAGGCTTCAAGTCAAATCAGGCTCGGCTACTCCATAAGATCCATCAATAAGCTTCTCTATAGAATCTCGGCACCGCCACTCCTGCAAGGTACGGGTGGCCAAAGGGGGCTTGTGCCTGACGACGAGGCTCATTTAGCCCATTAATTTCAACTTGCGTCGAAACAAAACGGCTGTGATGACTGGGTGTCAACTGTTTGCCAGTCTTTCAAGACTCGGCTGAGTTACCTTTTACTTAACTCCTTTCTTATCCCTTTTTACTCGTTATTCTTTCTTTCTTTCTTTCTTTCTTTTCCTTTTCTTTACTGACTACCGCTTTCTTGTTCTCGACCATCTCTACTGCCTGCTTCTCTAGAAAAGGTGAGTCAATTGAACTAAACATCGACGGTTCATAGCCAAAAGAATGTATACTGGACGTCGTTCCCCTTCCTCTTCATTTGAATCTCTATATCGTCCGCCTCGGACAGATGACTGCATTGGACTGGACTGGACCCGTCCTCGGGACATACCCTCTTCACGAACAAGCGGGCTGGAGAAGCAACAGTCGGATGACTTCAAACCAGGCAAGAGCCTCAAAGGCCTAGGCGAGAACAAGATAGCCATCTTCCTCTGGGTGCTCTTTGCCGTGGCAACAACAGTCAGCTGGATCCTCCAGTACACCCTCCAGCTGAACGAGGCCGCCGAGTATGGCTTCAAGACGATGGCCAGCGATACGTGCAAGCGCCTCAAGTGGCGTCGCAATATCGTAGGCATGTATCTGATCGCTCTCAACATCGCCACTGCCGTCGTGGCCTTCATCGCCTCCTACTTCCGGGCCGGCCTCCTGGCACCAACCCCCAGCGCATACCGGGAGTCGAAGGGGAGGCTCTATTTGGGTGTAGAGTCGGGCAGGGGATTCCTCCATGTTAGCTGGCCTCGCAAGGTCATGTATGTGGTGCTGCTGCTAGCATCACTACCGCTGTACTATTTGTAAGTCTGCTGCTACCGTTATTGAGACAGTATAGCTCATAAACGCAGGTCCAACAGTCTCGTTACGACAAAGCACTCTACGTACAACGCCTACGAGGTCCTCGTGTCTACCGCCTTTTTCGAAGGCAAGCCCTTTGACCTGGCCGGCATCAATATGACTCGCTACGACTCCCTCAAAGAGACGCCGGCCATGCCATCACCCGATCTGCAGTGGCCGGCCGAGTACGGGGCATCCGACGCTCTCAACAGCTCGCTCGCGCGCCTGCAGAGGGAGCCAACGCTCTGGAAGAACCTTTCTCGCGCCGACTGTGTCAAGCAGTTCAACGAAGCCGTTTACACCCGGTACCGGACGCTCGTACTGGTGACAGACTATGAGAGTGACATCAACAGCTCCAACTCAGCCCTGGCTGCCACGGTCCTCCCTGGCTATCGGCTCAAGTCGGCCTCGGACTCGCTCATCGCCCTGTGTCCCGACACGTATCTAGAGACTTACAACGGTACGATACATCCGTCCGAGACGCCGTTTCTGAGTTTATACGAGGAGCCTCTGGTTTCCGAGAAAGTGACGTTCCTGTCTTCCACCCAGGCCCGCGAGTGGGCGACCAACCGATCACTCTCGGCTGGCGACGTCTCACCGAGCCGCACCTTGGAGCGTCGACGGGGAGGGCCGGTGAGCGAGACCGGCTTTTCCAACCCAGTGCCGGGCCGAGATCTGTGCTACCGTTACTGGTCTGACAACGATCGGTGGATGCCCAACACCCGCATCTACCGCGTGCCGCAATGCCCTCTGCAGTACTGCCTCGCCGAGCCCGTCGAGACGCCGCGCATGTGCCAAGTGGTGTACAGCCCGCGCGTTCTCTTCATCCTATCCGTGTTCCTCACCTTCCTGTTCACCTTCATCTCCATGGCCCTTTATCTGCGGTGCGCGCGGGAAGGGCTCTATAGTAGGGATGAGGCGAGCGAGTACTTCCGCTATGAGAAGCAATTGTACCGCCTGGGCTGGTCGGAGGAATTCTACGGCAAGTATGGCGGCGGCTCGAGGATATTCCACCACCGCCGCATGCCGTGGCACCTCTGTGTTCTCAGTGTAGTCGTCTTCATCTACGTCTTTGTTCTCTGGGGCGATGCGGGGAGCGTCGGGGGGGAAGTCAGATATTATCCCTCTAGTCCTGGGTGAGTAGCATCATAGAAAAAACAAATGAAGTGGCGCTGACAAGATGGTTACAACAGAGACGAGACCTGGTTCTTTAAGGTCAGTTCCAACTCATGTAGCCGCTACACTCCGTACTAACTAGAGTGCAGGCCCTCGCCTTGAACAAGTCTCTCCACATCGTCTTTGAGGTGCAGCTTTACTTCCAAGATGCCGATGTCCGCAAGCGCTTCTTTCGGGTCACACCGGATGTGGACTACCAGGATCCAGGGAAGGAAAACTGGGGGCAGGAGATGCTGAGGAAGACGGGCGAGTTCTTCAAGAGCAGCGAGACGTACCTCAAGTCGTCCCTGGCTGTGCGGTCGTTCCTTATACACGCGGTATACGAGCTCATCTTCATCACGCAGCTGATGGGCGCGGCGCCGCTGGAGGAGGAGGCCGGCATGCTCGAGGGGTCCAAGCCCCTGGCCTTCACCACGCTCGGCGTGCCGGACTTCAACGAGCGAGCCAACAATATCGACATCGGCTTCTTCTTCTTCAACTGGCTCGTCTTTATCGGCCTCCCGTCGACCCTACTAGACGTCATCTTCTATGCCACGGCTGGCCGCCACGAGGATAAGAAGGACCATGTCATGTCCCCTTCTTTCGGGGTACTCAGCTACGTCTGTCTATTGACAGGCATTTCTTGGAATCCGATACATGGGTGGATGAGCTGGAAGAGGTGCTGGTATCGTTTGAACCATTATTGTTAAGTTTGGTTGAGTTATTTGGGGTCGGCGGCGTTGATAGGAGCCTGCAGTCAAGGACTGCATTGATCTGAGACGAGTTTAGAATCTGGGAATCGAGGGTTTGGGAATGCTAGAGTCTAGGAGTCCTAGGAGTGCCAGGCTGGCACTGGGGCAGAGGCTACGAGTGTACAAAGAGGGAATGCTGCCATTTGTAAATGAGATGTTATGATTATGGACAAGGGTTTGTACTGTAGATAGACGAATGAAGAGAAGACGGTGTTTAACGATGAGCAAGAACTATTTAGACGTGATAAACTTGGCAGTGGTTTATGTTTGGAGTTGAGGTACGTACTTCAAACTGTGGGGAATAGGACGGCCCCACTTCTTGTTTATCGATCTCAGCTTCACAACAACCTTGCATCCATCCATCTCCTCTCTACACTCACTCACTCACATCCATCTCATCAGTATCGACAGCTTGAAACAAACAAAACCCACCACTATTCTTTTTTAACATCAAACCATAAAAGAAGACTCAACGCGTGTGACCCATCTCAAACACACCTTTCATCACAAACTCTATCCCCAAAGAAACATATATATCCCTTTGTTTCTATTCCCGGACAAAGATGCTCCGCCGTCCAGCCACAACCCTCACCATCACATCCGAAGACGTGGCCGCCTACGAAGACAGGCGCGCAAGAGAAGCCCTAGTCGCGGCGCAGCAGGCTCGAAGGGCTGCCGCGGTGGCTGCCGCTCAAGCTCAGGCACAAGCACAGCAGCAGGAGGCGGATATGGAGGGTGTGGATCGCGTCTTGCAGGAGAGGGAGAGGGAGGGCGAGATTAGGAGGGCGAGGGATGAGAGGATTGGTGTTGGCAGGAGGAGATGATTTTTCTGGAAAGATGGATTGTTGGCGAAAGGTATGGGCTCAACTTGTTCTTTTGATACACTTTCATTCACTCTTAACACATTTCAGGAGTAGCAACAACCATCTTGATGAACCAAGTCATGACCTTTTTTTTAATTATTCTCTATTGATTAAATGTACATATAAAAAAAAGAAACAGCTCGGCGTGAGCGACATGTCGGCCGTCAAAAACAACAGCTCTACCCAACCCCCCCTTCCTTTCCACCTCTTTTTTCTCTTTCTCCGAATATCTGTGATTAACTTACATACAAAAGACGAGGACAAAGAACGCACGCCCTTTTTCCAATGCAACCCAACAAAAAAAAAAAAAAACCCCCATAATGATCCTAATACACGTGTGCGAATGCAATGCATGACAGACCGCTTAGTTGAGATAAACCCAGAACAACACCGCCATCCATGCAACACGCCATGTCGTCGTCCACAACTCGCGTCCAACCACGCTGAGAGCCTTTCTACCGCCAACACGCTTCTGCTGGGTCCCCGTGTCAAGGAAGCTGGTGTCGAGATGGATCCGCGGCCCGCCGTCGGCTCCCCATCCCCAACGCTTGGCATTCCGGCCTCCGCCCGCTCCGCGCCGAGCTTGCCACCGGGGCGAGGCTGAAGGCGCGGGAGACTTGCTCCGGGCGTTGCGTGGTGCTGCGGCAGAGAGCCGCGAGGGGAGGTGGTGCGCCGACGTGCCTGACGACGATGTTGTGCGCGAAGGAAAGGCCTCGGGAGGATCCATCTTGTCCTTATACAGAGGTAGGACGGTTGAGGCGGATTGTTTCTCAGGCTCAAGGGCGAAAGGTGTGAGTGAGAGGGCGGGAACGAGGAAAGCCCGGACCGTGAGGAGGACGAGGGTGACGATGAGAAAGACGATGTACTCCATATAGGTATGGAACTGGTTGGGCAAAAGGCACAGATGCGTCTGAATCGTCTGTTCTGGCGCTTCTGGAAGAGGCTTGCCCTTGGCATCAACAGGGTTAAACAAGCTGACCATCAGGAAACCAGGCGTGGGGACGCCCATGGCCATGCTCATACTCTTGACCGTGATTTCGCGAACGTTCTCCTTTGCATCCGAGTGCACCAACTCGCAGTAGTCGTGGTCGTCTCCCGAAAAGACGTGTTTGACGTTGCCAATGCTCTTCACCAGCTTGACAGAATCAGCCTCATTGAGCACGTTCTGGTATTGGTATCCTCCCACGACGCTGATAGCATTTCGGTTGTCAGGGATAACCGGCCCCTTTTGCCCCTTGGGAGGCTTCGCTGGCGGCCAATGCTCGCGCTTCGGCCCGCAAGGGGTGCCAGGCGCACGATACAATGGGACGTGAGTAAGAAGAATCGTAGGAAAGTCGGGTCCCTGAGAAGCCGCCTCAGCATCAGCAGCACGACCCCAGGTGGGATTCGACTTGTCCAGCTCCTCGACATCATGCGGGTAATGCAGTCCTCCCTCAAGATCATGCCAATGGCGCAACTCCTCCTCCACAGCCTTTCGCTTCGTGACCTTGACGTTCTCCAGAAATTCATTTACGGGTCCGTAAATCGGCCTCAGATCGTGTTGGTTCTTGTACTCAGAGGTGTCTGCGCTCAGGGAAACTGAATCGACCGACACGATGGTGTGGTTTCCGATGACATCCACGCGATTCACATCGCCAAAGAATGCGCCGAAGCGATCCCGCACTGGAACTTGAACCTGAGCACCAAAGCCCAAGTCATGATTCCCTGGAAGACTGGCTACAAGCTTTCGCCCGCGCTGCCAGGATCCAGGCACCTCGCCGCCCTTGTTCCAGCTGTCGAGGAAAATATCCCCGAACCGCTCATACTCTTGCAGCCAAAAGTCATCTCCGTATTTGTTGTGCCATGTCTTGACCCATTTCTTCTCGTCTTTGGAACGTCCCCGTCCCCATTTCGGATCGACAAAGTTGCCCTTGCTCGTCTTCCACTCGCGACCGCCGTCGAAAAGATCACCAAGGAAGAAGACACTGTCCGGATGCAGCCGGTGCTGCATCGCGCCATAGCCGCGCTTGAGGTAGTTGTCGGTTATGAGCACCGTTAGGGGGTTTAGAGGCCATGGTCGGCCAGGATATGAATGCGGATCGATAAGTTGGGGATCGGCCACGAAGACGAGGTGGTGAGGTTTCGCATCTTTTGGCTGCAGCGTTGTTAGTCGACCTTTCTTTGAGCTCGAACCGCAGGCTTCTCGTCACGGATGCCTCCTTTGGTGTCAACATACCCATTTCTCCCAATGATCCCAATCGCAGTTGGCCACCTTCCCATCAAACACCCACCTCTCCCCATAGAGCAGCACAAAGACCCAAAACACGACCAGCACATGCGGGAAGCTCAGAAGCCGGCGAGACGTGAGGTTGCGACGCACCTGGTGCGCTACCCTCCTGCCCGCCGCGATGGCCATCCTCCGCCACGGACCTACGGCCCACCGGCCTACCTGGTGGCCTATCTGCTTGGTGTTGAGCCAGAGCACCTCCGCTACCGACAGGTCGTTGAAGTTGATCTTGGCGTTGGGGCGATACTGGTAGTGGCGACTTGACATGATGGCGCCATGCCCTTGCGCTGGCAGAGCGACTCCTCCTCAAGCTCGTGGCTGTATTCGTGTTCAAGTCTGTACGTGTCTTGTGTGTTCAAACGTCGTGGTTCGTAGAATGTCGTGGGTTGTCGTCTTGGCCCAGTGGATTGATCGACGATCCGGGGAACAAGAGCCCCTTGAAGCAACAGCGCAGCGGTATTCTTGTCAAAGAGTATCTCGTCTCGCGGTTTTCGTACACAATTCGAAAATCTTCGTAGTCGTCGCAAATCCGGCGCGTGTCTGACTTAGTTTTGAAGAAGAGAAAACGAATGTCAACAGAAAAAAGTTTGTTTTCAAAGACAGTTTTGTCGCCTGTTGTCGAGTTGAAAGCAAGGAAGGAAGCTCCTCAGTCGCAGCAGCCACTCAACGCTGGCGGGCCACGGCGGTCAAAAGTGGATTGCTTGTTCCTTCCTTGAGCTCTGCTGCACCGCGTGACGAGCCCTGATTGGTTCAACTTTGTCTCCGGCCGCGGCTGCGAATTTCCGGGGCATGGCGCGCCTTTCGGGGGGCTTGATTAGCGCTACGACCCCGCTATCCAGGGGTGTCTAGCGCCCAAAACTGCACGTCTTCAGGGGCACAGGCGATGGGACAGGAACTCGGCCGATGATCTTGAGAAAACAGAGAGACCGCTCATGTTCGTATTCATATGCATACGGGAATGCAATTAAATCCAAGCCAAAACTTTATAGCCCTTTTTTCCCAATGCCAAATCATCTGCTATGATGCTACACAATGCTCATGCGTATGATGCCTCAAGTCCTAAACTCCGTCCAAATGCCATCCAAATATGAGGCGAGGAAGCCAATATATGTACATGCGTAGGTATGCACATGTCGAGAAATCAAAATCAAAACAATCCTGGCCAGACTACCTTCGGCGATAGTCGTCGTCATAGTCATCACCCTCATCACTATAGTCATCTTCTTCCGGTGGAGGAGGAGGCTCCTTCTTCTCCTTCTTCCGGAAACTCAACAGCCTCTTGAAACCGCTTGGCTGTGCTGGCGCCGGCGCCGGCTCCGCTTCTGGCTCCGGCTCTGGCTCTGCGGCTTGTCCTCCTTCATCATCATCATCGGCGTTATAGTCGTAAAATAGCTTCGGCACCAGCAGTCGGTATGTCTTGGTGATGCCCGCCGGGTCCTTGGGGTTGATCTCGACATTCAGGCAAATATCCAAGCCACCCTCAAGGTCAACGGCATACTTATCTGCCTCCTTCATCTGCTTTGTAGAGAGGCCTGTTGGCGTCCTGTAGAAAGGACGGGTTGGAGGCAAGGCGCTCACATCGTTGCGGGAGTGTGACATGGCCCTCGATCCAATGGTTTGCGTGCGGCGAGGCTGAGCCATGAAGTAAGAGTCGTCTCCGTCCGAATACTCGTCATAGGCCGCTCCACCTCGGATACCCGAAGGACGCTGTCGTTGAGGCGATTGGGGCTCATCCCAATACTGCTCGTCGTCGTCGTATCTATCATCGTCTCCCCAAGTGCCATTAATACCGCCATCATCAGCAGCGCGACGCTGACTAGGCCGTCGACCAAAGCTAAAGAAGCCTGCCTTCTTGGGTTCGGCTGGAGCACCGCCAACTGACATAGACCTTGTGAGCTTGGCCTTGGGAGGTCGCTCTGAGTTGGTTGAGTTGCGGCGTGATAGACTACGGAACAGGCCTCCACCACCTCCTCGCGTAACGGGAGGCCGGGATCCGCGGACCGAATCTCTTGATACCTCCGGTGGTGTATCCGTGGACTTGCTCCTGGACAAGGACAGTCTCCGGAACAGACCGCCTCCCTGGGGCTTGGCTGGTGGGGGGCTCGGGGTTCTCTCAGGCGATAGAGGCGGTGTCGGAGGTGGTGTGCTTCCTGGCGCCCATTCGCGAATCGAACACCAGTTTCGGTGGGGGAGGAGGTGCTTGTTGTTCCTTGGCTTTCCGTCCACTCCTTGCTGGAAGATGGGAATCATATCCTCATCGGTCTGCTTGTCGAAATGGTGCACCTTGTTCCTCTTGTTCAGCACATCGGCCAGCATGTCAGGCGGCGGTGTGTTGGCAATAGCCGAGGAGATGATGTTGGGCATGTATCGAGGGTCCTTGTGCTTGGCAAGCCCCAGCTTGGGGTTGGAGTAGAACTGTCCGACAGCTGCAAGATGGACGTCGCCGCTCAGAATGGTGACTCGGAGCGACTTGTCGATGGCGAGATCTTGCAAGTCTTCGATAACAACGCTTCGCTCCTGCTTGTGGTTCTTGGCGGTCCAGTGGTCGTTCAGGTCATCCAAAACCTCGACTCCTCCGTCAATGTTGTTCAGAGCCTTTCCAAACATGCCAGTCCGTCCAAGGGCCTTGACAGGGTCCATAAGCCTCGAGGTCAAACTATCATCTCGTTAGCATCAGGCATTCAGCACACTTACGGGTAACTTACATGTTCTCGAGCCAGACCAATCTGGGGTACGCAATGGGAATGCCCAGGAGTACCAGCAAATGCTCAACCTGTCCACGTCGCACTTCGGCATAGAGGCGATTCATGATCTTCTCCCATGTCTGATCTGAGATAACGTCGTGTTCTGTCCTTTCCATGCGGCAGTCCACAGCCAGCAGAGCCACTCTCGAGCCCACAGACATGAACAGACTGCGGCCGAGCTCGCCAATAAACGGACCAGGCTCAGAACCAACGATCCAGCTCGGCTCAGAGCTCTCTGTCTCATCCATGATGGACTGGTGCTGGAACAGCATGTAGTACTTGAAAGCAACAGCTCCCAGACCACTGAAGACGGGTGACTTCATGTCATGATGAGGGTAGGAGCCATATCCATCAAAGATGTCGTGATCGTCGTACATGTTGACCATTGGGATCTGCGAGTTGGCCAGGCCAAACAGTCCCTGGGAGAACCACATGGAGTAACGCTCCAGGTAGAACTTCTCCATCTCATCTTGCATCTCGGGCGTGAAGGCAGTGGTGTGCTTGTGAACTGGGTTCTTGACGCTGAGCCACTCCTTGAAAAGTTCACATTCGTCGGCGACGCAATCGTTGTAGATCTGGTCACCACCGCCAATCATGAGATGGAAGGGCCGCGTCTGGTGGTTGTTCAGCACGTCGCGCCACATAGGGTCAGGACCGCTCAGCTCATCAGGCTTCACACTGAGACTAAAGCCGTTGCAGCTGTAGAACATCATGTTCATGGTCTCTCCCGCTGCAGGGACCCAGAAGCCAGTGGCAGGTCCACGGTTGATGCGGTAAGCGATTCGCTGCTGCTTCTCGCGCAGCTCAACCTCAATATTGAACCGCCAAAAGGTGTATCCCCGTTCAGCATGAAGTCGGAATCCTCTGACGTCCTTGTACTTTTGAACCTTCTCGCCGTCGACACCCACGCGCTTTCTCCGGCTAGCAAAAGATCCAGGAAGATCCTTGGCGCCATCAGGAGGAAGCACGTCAGGGGGGCTACGGCTCTGCTCGAAGAGACCCTCATCAGTCTCGTCACGAGACAGATCCTTTGCTTCCTCGAGATGCTCCACGGGGCGCACGTAGAGGGTTTCTCCTCTACGACCCACCTTGGGGTGGCCAGCAATGGGATCGACGTATTCAGGGGACAGATCACCCTTGACACGATGAGGCGGAGGGGGCAGCAGCTCAATGTCCTGGACAAAGAGTCGAAGCGTAGGCGCAATCTCGTAAGAAGAATCGGCATCTTCTGTGACAATCATGACACTGCCTCGCCACATCTCTCGTTCTGAGAGGGGGCCGCCCCTCTGGGACCTGTTGGGGGTCTTTTCCCGTCGAATGCCGCAGTATCTCAACAGCGGTCCACACTTGAGGAACAACGGGGGCTTGAATCGAGTAGGAGCTGAGACCGAGTTAGTATCATTCAGTAACCAGGAAAGCAGTGAACTCACCATTCTCGTCATATTCACCGTCAAAGGCCTCGGCCTTTCGTGGTCGAGCAGCGTAACCGTGACCCTTAGTCCGGTTATCCTGCTCCCACCAGGCCTTGTTCACATCTGGCTCAGAAACATGGGCGACATCCTTGATTTCCAGGAGCGGCCCAGCAAGACTGCCGACGGTGCCCTTCTTCCACTCATCGAGCCATTGAGGTGGCAGATACAGACCATCACCAGGGGCCATCTCCTCACGAGGTTTGAAGATCATGTTTGAGATCTTGTGAGAATGCGAATCGTCGTCTGAGTAGTCGCTATCGGCCCTCTCATGTTTTCTGCGGGCAGCCGCCTGGTTCTCGGCGTGAGCAACATCATCCACCTCCTTCTTGCTAACAGTCTTGCTACGAGTAGGCGGCGGAGCGTACTCCTCGTCAGACGCATACTCAGGTCTTGAGATGGGTTCAGTAACACGTCTCCTGATGCGCTGGTCGTCGCCAGGCATGGGAATATGATGAAGGTCTGGTCTGACGTCCATAGAGGGCCTCCGTGCCCCGGGTGGGTTAGGAGGGAGGTCCTTATCCCGCCTATACCGGCCAGTGGGCTGTCGGGTCACTGGGACAATGTCTTCTGGTTCATAGTAGTCATCTTCGTCATCATGGGTTGGGGGTTGGTGTTTCGAGACGGGGGCTACTACAGGAGCAGCATGCGCTTCGGATGCCACCCTGCGATGGTAGCTGTGATCTGCTGGAGGCTGCTTCTTTAGTTTGTTGCTGCCGCTTCGTGTCAAAGAGAATCCCCCACTTGAGGAGGGTTGCGCCGGTTCTGGGAGAGGAACATGGTCTCGTGCAGCTCGTTCTCGGAAGCTAAGGTTGCGCTTAGGAATACCGGAATCCAATTTCGTGTGCCTAGGTGCTGGGTGAACTTCCTCGGGTTCCAGTAGTGCGCCGGAACTATAATGTTGCGCCTCCTCTGGTGGGTGTTGTGTAAGAGGACCTCGATGACGACTCGAGCTCTCCTTCTGAACGGGAACTTCGGGAGGCGGCTCGCGGTACGTCTCTCTGGGTGCTTCCCTCGGGGCTTCTTGTGGGATTTCCCTAGAATAGTCTCTCGGGGCGTCGCGGGGAATGTCTCTAGGTGCTTCTCTAGGTGCCTCTCTGTGAATCTCTCTTGGCACTTCTCTGGATACCTCTCTATGCGCCGGGCGTTGCGCCACAGCAATTGGAGCCGCAGCCACTGAGGGACGCCTCTCACCGTAGGCTACAGACGGTTTTCGTTCATGGGTCCGTGGTTGCTGGACGGCGGGCTGCTTTCCGGCCCTCAATGCCTGTCTTTCTCTAGCTCGTCGTTCGGCGGCTTCGACTCGGGCGCGTTTTTCCTCCTTGGTGATGCTGTCGAGCGTCAGCTCAAGCCTTTGGAGGGGCGATCGGTCGTCTGCGAGGTACTTTTTGGAGCGTCCTGAGCTACCGCCAGTGGTTGCCCTCCTGGATATCTGGTCGTATGCGCTGGCGCTTGAGTCCCGCCTTGCGAGGTCTGCTTGCGCTCGGTCAGATTGCTGATATTCTCGGGCCCTCTGAGAGGACTTTTGGTAATCGTCGTTGTCCATGTCGTCAGGCTGCAGGGACGCGCCGCCGTACGGTTGTGGCGGTGCCGGTGCGCCTGCTACGGTGTAGGTATAAGGAAGACCTCCGTTGCCGTAGGGGTGCCGATAGCTCACAGGAGGACCGCGAGGAACCTCTGGGGCAGCTGGGAGAATGGGTGACAAGTCACCGTCTTCGTCTTCTTCGTCTTGTTGACGACTTGGGCGGCGAGGTCTTCTGCTGTCGGAAGGCTCTCCAGGTCCTTGTCGGTAGGAAGGCGGTCTGGGTGCTAGTCCTTGAGGCGCAAAGCTTGCAGAGGGCGAGTCGTGTGGACTAAAGGTAGATTCGGAGGGAGCCTCGGTGTTCTGGGTCTGTATAGAAGCACGATTTGATCTGCGAACTGGGGGAACGTCGAAAGAAGATCTGCGGTCAGCATTATAGGTATAGTCGTCCGACTCAGACCTGCGGCGTGCGTGGCCGGCCTGGGCGACCTTTGGGCCGGGCAGTTGGCCCCAGTATGGCGTCGACATTGAGGCTGACTACTGGGTATCGAGAGCAGGGCTAGCAGCTTGATTGGACGGTGCGTGAGAGACAAGAGGCAGAAAAAGAGGATTGGATGGAGATCAGATGGCGGCGTCGGCTCGCGCGTGCGCACAGTCGGAGGCGGGTAACTAGGCTTGAGGCCTGGTTCTGGTCCCGTCTGGTTGTGGGAGCGAAGCTTGGTGGTTTAGGCGCTAGCTTGGACGGACAGATACTGGAGACAGTCTAGAGATGGACTCCGTCACGGATGGAGTTTGACTGGACAGCGGGGCGCGATGTCTAGGGCTCATGCGAGCTGCCGGGCTAACTAGCCAATGCTTTGCAGGTTCTGGCGACGTTGGCGGAGGCGATGGGCCCGACTGCCCGAGGGAAGGAAAGAATTTTTCCTGGCGTCTCAGGATGATGAGTTGGGGAGAGAAAAGGACGAGGTTGACTTGACGAGGGAAGGGAAGAGCGACAGCTGGTTCAAACCAACCAGGAACTGCCTGGGAACCGCCCAAGCCCAAGCTACAGGGGTCATTCTGCCGCCGAGGAGCTGCTACGGGGACCTGTTCACACCCTGCAAGAGGCCCTGGTTCATCATGGGCTTTTTTTTCCCAGCCTCGAGGTCATGGATTGCTCGGTTGTTGCAAACCCTCGGCGTTTTCTCCAACAAATGTATACACTTTACGCCGAGTACGTAGCATCAAAGAGAATAGCCAGGGAACCATGGACACTAGCATGGGTTTCAAACTCGCCTGGCTAGAAGCAATTTTTCCATTTCCTTGGATTTCAGGCTGGGGATCGCTGGGCTGACCAGGCTGTGCTGATAATCAAGCAGGCTGGGGGCGGGGCGGCGTCACCAACTTTTAGCTCTCCCCTCCGGGACCCAAAAAAATGCGGGTGGCTGGCACACGGAGCCACGGAACGGGCCCGGTCCAGTTCAGGCAAGACATGGGCACGACGGGAGGCGGGAGGGAGGCTGCAAGGAACGGATAGCGACTGCAACAATGTCACGGCGAATGGACTTGAGAGCAATTCATTCTTGGTTTTACGGTGTAGCAGGGCAAATCTGGAAACAATGGAGATGCGACCTCATGCTGCATGTCCTCATGTACGACAGTTGCAGCTGGGCCAATGTCTGGCAGCTGATATTCCCGATCAAGTCCCCCAATGCATCCAGACCGTTGGCGCGCGGACGGGATGGCCCGGCCGAACTCTGTCTTGACTGACATCCATCATTCACACATTCACTCGATATCCATTGCAACAATGACAACGTGTCAAGAGGCCAGGCGAGGACAGAACAAGGCAATTCTTCAATTGCCGAATCTTGCCTGTCATTTAATTACTCCGTTGCACAAATTACAAAGGGTCGGGCTGACATCATGCCCAACCACCTCTATTGAAAAAGCCACTCAGCCATCGCTGCATGCCGTCACCCGTGGCCGTCAACGGCTTGTTTGATTGATGGACCGTTTTTTACTCCTGCCGCAGGGCACAGCTCGTATTGCGCGGTCGTCGATAAACTTTCTGTCAAGACGACGCCCAAGCCCACCCCGTCAACTCAATTAAGCCTTGGGTGCGGTGGCAGCATACTGAGCCTTTGCGGTCTTGATGGCATCCTCCAGGCGCTGCTGGTAGTCGTCCGAGCAGTTGTCGAGCCTGCTATTGAGCTCGTCCTGAAACTTGTTTATCTCCTCCTCGTAGACGCCAATGGCATTGCCAATCGATGGGGTGAGGGGGAATTGGCTGATGCGCTCGGCCTGGTCACCAAGCCGCTTGATGAGGCTCCCCTGCGTGTATCTCGTCTGGAAAATGTTAGACTGGCCATGACGAAAGTTCAAAGATACATACTCTGTGCAGCTCCCGGCAAAATTCTTTTTGCTCATCCTCGCTGAAGTCTCCCGCTTCGGTATCCACGTTGGCTTTGCTAATCTCAGAGATGCCTTTGTACAGGTTGAAAGTTCCGGCAAATAGATCCTATTCCCTCTTATCGATAATTCTTCTTGATTCAAGGGCTGAGCTTGACGCACATGAACGCTAGAAGCGTCGTATCCGAGGACTGGCATCCGGTCAATGGCAGCCCTGAGATCAGTTGAGAGCGATGAGATCTCGTCAAAGTCCTCGGATGTCTTCTCCGGAGACGAGGCCGCGGAGATGGTTGATGCTCCTAGAGCGGCAATGAGAAGGGCGTGCTTTGTGACATACATTTTGTCGAGTGAATAGGAGGAAGTTGTGATGTTGAGTGGAGTGAGTTGATAAAGTCGGGATGATACGATGTCAACATCGCCTTTCATAACATAGTCCATGTTATTGAAGCTCGTATATCGATCCAACGGGAGATGGGCGTCCGATTCAGTGGATATGTCTCTCATTCAGATTCCCATTTCTTCGATCTTAGCAAAAGGGCCGAATTTTTGATGCTGTCATTCTGCACTCTGGGGGCAAGCATAGGATCCGCAGCGGGAAGGTTGTCGGCATCATGACTCCCTAGTAGCGATGAAGCCGTTCCCTTGCAAACGATGAGGGCCAGAAAGCGAGCCGGCCTTAATTGAAGTCAGCATATCAGTAAATAAACGGCATAGGTAGTACTCAACGCTTCCGACGGTTAAAGTGTCCGACGCTACAGACCCATTCCGAAGACGTAACTCTGTCACTTGCGTAAGTACCAGTATCCATCTTACAGCGGGTGAACGAGGTTCAACAACACCCATGACGAATCTCGCAAAACATCCACTCTTCTCGATCGAGTTGAGTAATCGTCAAAGAAACACATCGTCTATATCCGTATAGTCACACGTCGATCAAGGGTCCATTGCTGCCCCAATGACGGAACAAAAATCCCCGCCTGTACTGCGGAAACCTGACGGAACGAGGGCAAGAATGAGCTGAGCGGGGGATCCAAGACACGCCCCTCAATGTGATGAATCTGCGACATCAAAATCCACTGTAACTGAGAAACTTCTCCCCCCCTCCACATCTGACTGAACCCCCACGATGCGATAGTAGCATCAGCAGGCATGCAGCCGTCGAGGGACGATCCGCATCCTCTCCACGAAACACGGGATGAGTGAGGGGCAGTGGAATTGTCACTTTTCTCCTTTTCTTGACTCGGATCTCGCCAAAAGTTGCAAGGATTGGAGCTGTCGAGTATGCCGAGCCACTACTGCGAGCTGTGGGCATGTAGATGCCTCGTGAGTGTTGTTTGCCAAGTACACACAGTCAATCTTTTGCAAGGCATTGAGGTGAACGAGAGCAGCTGGTGTGAATCTGCATCAGTCAGGTAGCCACCGCTCGACAGCCTGCAGAAATGAGGGGAAGTCAAAGCAACATGTCGTCGTCTTGACGCCCGTGTTAGTAATATCTTATCAGATCCTACTGATCTTCTCCACCCATGCAGGAAGGAATCACACCCAACGGCAGTTACGATTATCTCAATGGACGTGAGCTCCTGCCATATGCCGGTTGACAGCCACCTCAAAGCCACGCCACGTGAAGTACCTCCTTCGCACTCCAGATATCATCACAACCTTCAAACAGGCACAAAAAAATCACAAAAAATGCAGAAAAGTCAAAAAGAAAGCTGATGGGCACTGGGAGGTTGCTTCCGCCTGGGCTTGAACCAGAGGCCTTCGCATTACAGAACACTCTGATGGAGTATTAGTACGACGCTCTAACCAACTGAGCTACGGAAGCCAATCAGCTGTGGCGAACCAGGTGTTTCGCCGTTGTTTTTCCGCTCCCGCAAATGAGGTTATGCAGGTGCGACTTCCGAACCTGGAAGAACTTGACCAAAGAGCTTCCTAAGATCTCAGGTATCATGACCACTAATGGGCGTCAACCCCCATGGCGATGCCCATGCAGCGTGCATATCTTTAGAGCTTCGTGGGTGGCCTCAACTACCTAGCTCGCATGACCTCGTTGCAACCACGAAAATTCTCCATGTTCAGGCAGGTTGGGAATGATCAGCCCATCATTTTGATGCGGTATCCGCTTAAAACCATTCTATTCATGATACCCAAACTCCATAAAATCCACCGATCCCGATCTATCCACAAGGAAATAAACATGCATCCCCCCACGCTCCGGACTAGGACCCCACGTTCCATCAGGTTTCGGTCTTGTCTGGCTGTACTATGTTCGGACGTGGGTAGACCAAGGACCGGGCACCCTGCCATGCTCGATTTCCCAAAGGTGTCAAGGAAAGAAACATATAGAGCGGTACGAGAAACATGATGGTAAAAGCTGCAGCCCAAGGTGTGCAGAGATCTTCCTCCAGGCGGTGCATATAGTCGGGAAGGGTCACGAATGCCATTTGCTCGTCAGAGTCCAGCTGCAGTCCTTCGTAGTATACCACGTGGGACTGCAATATCTTATAAACCGTCATGCCTGGTCTCCCGATGGACTGTGAGACGGACTTGTGTCGAATAATCTCTGGCGTGACCGAGATTTTGACCCGGGCCCTCGAGTTCAGCACCCGGGCGCCTGGCCTCCGTTTCCGAACTTGCTCTCGATACCGCTCCGCCACCGCCTTGGAAGACGTGTAAGCCTCCTGACAGAGGTTTACTTGGCTCAGACTGAATGGCTCTCCTGGCTGGACCCAGTTGAACGAAAATATTGCTGGTGCTAGGCGTATGTGTACATTGATCCACCCCGCGTAAGCAATCACTTCGTGGAGGGCCTGGTGCACCTTGCGAACGGGGGCCGGTTGATGACCTTCGAACTCTGCGGCGTAGGTATAAGCCGGTAGCAGCATAGCCAAGGTTTGGGCGCACAGTTCGTCAACCCTGTTCCAAAAGAAAGGAGGAACCTGCGTTATAAGATACACCCTGTTCATGCGAGCACGGAGCTTGGAGCGTTGGAATCCTATGGCTGATGTCAGCTTGGTGTTTTCTAAATGTAGTGTCACTGTCACGCAACACACCTTCTGCATCAATGAGCGCACTATCGCACGAGCTCAGCAACGTCTCATGCTCCGAATCGGCACCGAAAAGCAAACATGAGAAAACATTGGTATCGAGAACCTTGAAAATGATGGATGTGAGAAGGCATGTCCGCTGCGCCTTATCAGTAAGTAACCTCCCCCACTTCCCAGCCCGTGCATCAGGATGTGCAACAAGTTGGACGTATTCGAGAAACTCTTTCGGGTACTCTCTCAACCAAGGGTGAATTTTGCGTGCGTGGGAATTTCCTCTCGGACGAGATACCCCTTGAGCGAGGGCGTAAACATTCTTTAAGAGTGTGTTGAAGTGGCTCTCATAGAACTCGTCTGGCAAGTCTTCACCAACGAGGCTGAAATCGAGGGCAAGACGGCTTGGAGAAAAGGACCTGAGCTCATTCATCTCGGGGCGTACAATAATGACAGTCCAATGAGTATCCTATTCCGAATTCGATTGCTTAGATGCGACGTGTGTTGTGATAATTGGTAAAGTGTACAACGGGTATATGTGACGATTGGACAAAGGGGCTTAGGCAAAATGAGTGACAGAAGATGATCGCGTTGGCGTCATGAGTTTATCGGAACGATGAAGATCTGAAAGATGAAGATGATGTTGATCTCTGAGGGAGAGCGGCGAGAAAGGTGAAGCCGGAGCTTATCATCAAGAGCGAGCTGCTTCGGTTCTTGCTCTTGGGGGTCGTCTCCTTTGTCTTGGAGACATCCTTCTCAAAGGAAGTGTTGGTTCGAGTATCAGGCTCCATGGCGGCGATGTTGGACAAGTAGAATAAAGAAGCAGTTGTGGCAGCAATTCTAGGCAAGGGGATCAAAGAAGCTCGAGGTGGTGTGGTGAGGGCTGGGCTTCTCTTCTTTGTCCATGGGCGATGGCAGTCTATTATAAGTGCGCCATGTGCTTGCTACAGTACGTAGTATGGAGTCCAACTCCAGATCAAGTGAAGACCCGGCATGCCAATCCTGGTCAGCACGCTGATCGTGCAGGTCTCGGAAGATGGTCCCTGAGGGGCTCAATCAAAGACACAAAGGGCTGTGAGGGTGGGATGTAATGGAGTTTGAGACGCGTCGACATTCCAGAAAGGCATAGCCAGTGCCTGAGCCATGCATGAGAGCGTGGACGTGGATCATCATTGGGAGCACTCGCTGGTGCAAAATACGTAATGCGGCGGGTGCGCACCAGTTGTCACTCGATTCGCGGGACAATGTGGGACAAGGGAGACCAATAGGTCAACATGAGAATCCCGCCCTGTCTTGACCCGCGCCGGCTGTGAATGGTGCAGGTGCTCCTCTCCTTGAGTGGGTGAATTCGAGGCTTAATTGCTGGCGTTGAGCTTGGGATCGACGCCCTTGACGCCTCATTCAAGGGAGAGTGACGCAGCGAATGTTGGTTGTCGACACAAGTTGGCACAAGTTAGTCAGAAGATGGCAGCTGACTAGCTGTAGACAATTGTGTGAAACCGCCTTTGCCGTTTGTATCTCAGCCTACCATTTTCCTTTTGTCCTTTTGTCCTGGTCTTCTTGTCCCCACGCAGACATGGACGGACGTGATACTGTCTGTTGTGCCGCCGGCATCTCCGGCTATGGGGGGTAAGAAATGTCTAAATTCCGGTATGCATGCGAAATGGTGCGAGGCACGAACGACCAGAACAAAAAGAGCGTGGGTTGAGCTGTTTTGAGGTGGAGGCGAGGATGGGGGTCACCACGTTGGATGACTTGAAAGCCATGACAGCGCATGAGGCACAAGAAGCGCGTGAAACACGAAATGGGCGCAGCAACTGGTAGCCGTGAGCTCTTCTCCGTGACATGGGCTCACTCTTGAGAGCGGCACATGCCTTGATGCTGATGCGAATCCTCGTGACAGGGAATCCTGCTGCATCTTGTAGTCGAGTTACATCAAGCGTCTGAGGCCCAAGACTAGCCTAGTAGTAGGCAGTGAGCCAACCTTGGTGTGGCCGTGTTGGCATGGAGGAATCTCTCGGGTCGCATTATCGCGGCATAAAAGGAAAATGTGAGATTGGTCCTCGTGACAGCCTGTCAATGTCCGTGTCCTTGGATCAAAGGGGAAAAGAGCCCGGTCTGGGTGGTGTATCAATTGAGAATGCTCGGCGTGAAAGAAACGTAGCCGAGTATCAAAGATAGGATTGTACCATGGAGGCCTCGGCTAATTCAACAAAGTCGGATGAAACGAGTTTGACAACCCTGGGATGAAGGAGGAGAAGCTCGTCTTTGCTTCATCTTCATCCACCTCCAGCTAGCACAGCACTTGCCGCTACCCACGACCTGGTCGGTAGCTCCCGTCAGTTCAATGCAGGCACCTGTCTGATCGACGGGAGAGGCTCTGACAAGGAGTTTCCCCACCGTTCACAAGCCTCCAGAATGGGAAACAACTCGAGAGGGCCTGGCAGTGGACGCCTGGGCCAGGTGTAAGGCATTAAGGCATAAACTTGACGGCCCACTTCCTTCCCGATTGGGTCGCTTGGGGTAAGGCACAACCTCAAGTTACCTTAGGTCAGCACCCAAGATTTTTTGCGCTTCCCAATCTTCAAATCAAACAAGCCGCCTCTGCCTCTCTCCTCCCGACGAACCTACAAACGTCACCTCCTTCGCGACTCCTCTCTCCCTTCTCGATCGAGTCGACTCTTGCCTGGCGCAAAGTCGCAAACGCCTCCCCTACCTGTTGTCGGAAAGAAGTAGTCGACCTACCAATTTCTTGCTCTCGCCCCACCCTCGCACCGCCTCCCACTTCTTTGCTTCGATCATTCAAACTTGCCCCGCGATCCCACATTCGCAAGTCACCACCCTCACCTGAACCGATATCTTGCGTACGCGATCCAACGAGAAAACTCCATCACAATGGCCGCCGCTGCGACAGAGACACCCAAGATGGACGAGCAGGTCGACCTCACCACCATCCCCGTTGACCCCAACGGCAAGGAGTCTGCCTCCGATATCAAGGACGACAAGCCCGTCACTGTTTTCCACGACAAGGACAACTTCAACGTGAAGCACCCTCTTCAGAACAAGTGGACTCTTTGGTTCACCAAGCCCCCCAGTGGCAAGGTATGGCGGAACCCGTTTTCGGCCATCATCGACCCGATACTAATACTGCACACGATAGGGTGACAACTGGAACGATCTTCTGAAGGAGGTCATCACCTTTGATTCCGTCGAGGAGTTCTGGGGTGTCTACGTAAGTTCAATTTGACACGATAACCTCTCTCGAATCATACTAACTTTTTTAGAACAACGTTTCCGCCGTTTCTGAACTCTCTCTCAAGTCCGACTACCATCTGTTCAAGGCCGGTGTCCGCCCCGAGTGGGAGGACCCCCAGAACAAGCACGGTGGCAAGTGGTCCTACCAGTACAAGGACAAGCGAAACATCGACGTCGACCGTCTCTGGCTCCAGGTTATGATGGCCGCTATTGGCGAGACTCTCGAGGACGAGGACGACGGTGAGGTCATGGGTGTTGTTGTCAACGTCCGAAAGGCGTTCTTCCGAATCGGTGTCTGGACTCGCACCATAGGAAAGAGCATTCCAGGCCGAGGCGATGGTGACGTGGCCGGCGGCAAGGGTCGTAGCAATGAGAAGGGTAAGGACATTCTGATGAATATCGGCCGTCGATTCAAGGAGGTTCTGGAACTGCCTGCCACCGAGCAGGTCGAGTTCTCGGGTCACACCGACAGTGCTCACTCCGGAAGCACAAGGGCCAAGGCCAAGCACGTTGTCTAGAGTTATGCGCGATGACGAAAAGGGACGACATTGATTTAGCACGATATCCGATAATGACCATTTCATGCTTCTGACCATCATGGGCCCTACGCAGCGGTGGACGAAATGGACGGCAAGTGGTTTTGGGAGGAAACTCGACGCAAGAAACGAAGTGGCTGGGGGCTGAGATGCGATGCTGGACCAAGACAACCACTCGTCATGGCCAGCCATGGCTCATCCCTGATTTCCTTGGTTCAAGTTTTATACTGGCGTTGCTCGGAGCTCTTTTCTCAAGTGGCAACCATGGAGGTTGAAAAGCCGGCCACTGGGGATATGAAAATAGATAATGCACATTTTGGTCACCTAGGGTTTGCTGTGCTTTGATGACTGTGGTTTTTGGTGCTAGATATGATCTTTCAACGAGCTCCAGCAATGCTCCCCTTAACTATGCAGCTTTATCATACAAATCTACAAGTGGTACAGTATATACAGAGATCTCCCATTATGGTCTTAGCTTTCGTCGCCGCTGATATCGTCAGGGAAAATAGACTTGACCAGTTGCTTCTTGTTGATCTTGCCCATGGCATTCCTTGGGATATGATCGACGAGTCGCATCACTTGAGGAATCTTATAGTTGGCTAAGCGATCCTTAAGCGCACGCCTCATGTCGAGCGCAGACCACTTCTTGACAACTTCATTATCGAGAACGAGGACAGCGCCAACCTTGTGTCCCCATTGACCGCTCGGCACCGCGACCACGGCCGCCTCAGCGACCTGGGGCAGGGAGAGCAGCTCGCGCTCGACTTCGAGAGCGCTGACCTTTTCGCCGCCGGTCTTGATGATGTCGGCCGACTTGCGGCCTTGGATAAAATACAAGGGACCGTGAGCCCAGGGTTGAGCGGCAGCGGCGGAGGGGACGGGGCGGCGAACAGCGACGTCACCCGTCTTGAACCAGCGGCCCTTGCCGTCGGCATCGTCAACAAACTCGCTGGCTGTCGCTTTTGGGTTGCGCCAGTACTCGCGGAAGATGGTCGGTCCACGGAGTTGGATCTCGCCAGATCGTTCTCGGCCTGTCTCCTGGTTGACCTCCTCACCCTCCTTGATGATATCTCCTGTGTCGACATCAACCAGACGAGCTTGGACAGATGGCAGTGGCCAGCCGACACTGGCATCAACACGATCGGAAAAGTCGAGGCCGCAGCTCAGTGCCATACCAACCTCGGTCATGCCGTATCGCTCGAGGAGAACGTTGCCGTGGCTTAGGTCCCTCCAAGCTGCCTTTATAGGGGTAGGCAGGGCGGCGGAGCCAGATATGGCGAGGCGCATGTTCTCTGGTGAGATGGCTTTCCGGGCGGCTTCTTGAGCATCAGGAGCGAGGCTCTTGTGACTAGAGAGAAGACGGCTATAGACTGTGGGCACGACGGTGAAGAAGGTGATCTTGTCCTTGGGAGTCGAGGTACCGTTGGCGGCAGAGGCGAGGAAAGGTGTGGAGAGTCGCTTCCAGACGGCATCTGCATTAAAGGGGAACATGAATTCGATGGTTGAGCCGGCGAGGAGGGGTGTTAGGATGGCATTGACGGTGCCATGGATGTGGTGGAGAGGGAGAACGTGGAGGAGGTGATCGGCTGGGGAGTATTCCCAGGCTTCGAGTAGAGAACGAGACTGCGCTGTCAGGACCGATTGAGGTAGCAGAACACCTTTCTAGACCAGGGGTTAGTATTCGGGTGTCATAATACAGCGCTGTCTGTCTCACCGGCCTGTTTGTCGTGCCTGATGTATACAACATCATGCCGGCCTCTCCAGGGTTGGAGTCGCCCAATTCGACCTTCTCATGACTTCCCCCACCAACATGCTTCTGAAGCTCAAGATGTGCCGGCTTAGTTGTCAGATCCGTCGCAAGCACCTCCTTGGCCTTGGCTGCGAACTTGGCTGAAGAAACGAGAAGAGACGCCTCGCTCTGGTTAAGGATATACTGAAGCTCCGGCGCGGGGAAGGCTGGAGACAGAGGCACGGCGATAGAGCGCGCAGCCATGGCGGCCAGGAGCGTTACTTTAGGAGGCATTGTCAACTCAGCCGTTATCGGAGCTGGAGTGTCGCAGCACGCAGACTTGCTCACCTACGTAGTCGTAGCTATTCTCGACCAAGAATGCGATTCGCTCGCCATTGAGATCCTCCTTGCCCGCAGCTTCGGACAAGCGGTCGCGAGCACGGCGCACATCACCAAGCAGCTCACCATACTTGAAGGTGCGGCCGGAGAGGGAGTGGACGACGACCTTGGAGTTGGGATCATGGTTTGCGACGGCTTCGAAGAGCGGTAGGCGGGGTAGCGTTGACAGCATTCTGCAGGCGGGACGGAGGGTGAGGAAGGGGGAGTATGATGCCGGGCGCCGAACGGCGAGTGTGCGGAGGAGCGACATGGTGACGGTGAGGTCCCGAATCGCCGGGATTGCGACAAGGGTTCGGTTCCCAATGTTCAAGAAGTGGGATGCGACGACGGTCAATTCGGGTACCGAGGTAGATGGACCAGCAAGTAGAGAGAGCTTAGGAAGCTAGGGTACGACTCCGAGGCCGAACCGGCGGCTGCATTTGCCCAGGGGGGTTAGGAGTGGAGGTGTGATTGTCGATCTGCGAGCCTGACGTCCAAAATTGTTTTGGTGATGGAGGTTTTGAAGCTCCCCTCCCCCCATCCATTCCCATGTGGGATCCAATTGTTGGTGACGTCGGGTAGCGGCCCGGCCGAGTGTGCCGTCCTCCCCGGAGGTACGTACCCTGTGACAGGACGGCATCTTGTCGTCCTGTCTCATTTTTTCTCTTTTTCATCTTTACTTAAAATCCTCGGGTACAAGGCCAATCAGGATGTTGCCGCCGAGTTTCTAAAGCTAAACCCGCGCCGGCACTTGAGCTGCTGCGTCCGCGGTGCGGCGGTCGGTCGTCAGGCTGAGTTGAACGCTCATCTGCAATGCGACACAAGCCAATGTGCACCCGCATGCATGAGTGGTAACAGGTAAGAAGTTGCTGAGCATAAATATACGGAGTACAAATAAAAATATCTAAATTGCCACTGTATTTAACACGGTCCTCCCCTGTTGTCTTGATGCATGTCGGCGGTACGGCTGGTTGTACAAAACAAAGTTTGGAGCTGCTTGTCTTGCTACCTTGTCTGCGTCTAGGATGCAATAGCATTAGCATCGAGGGGAACCTAGGAGGCATGATATGATCGTGGGATCCGAGTATCCGAAGGGTTCATGATGGTCGAGTTAGTTGTATTGTAGATTTGGCGGTGTCCCGGGTAGGATGGGTGAGTCCCCTCTCGATATACCTCCGAGTACCCAAAGTCGTAGAACACGGTAGTCAACTTAACAACCTATGTGTACACATCACAAGGAAACTGTCATAAACAAACTCTACAAACCTCGAGGCAAGGCTTCGGACAATATAAATAAATAACAAGCATGGCTAGCACGAACCGACCATCTTCCCCGCTCATATCGTGGCCGGATATCACAACCGCAAAACCAATCATGAAGCTCTGGGTCATCTTCTTGGGCGTTACCGCATTCTTCTCCTTCGGTTTAACCGCCTCCATCGGTCCCACGCCAATGTTTTGCGCGTTAGCTACCGACTATTATAGAGTGGGCGAGAGTCCATCCATGTGCGAGTGCTGCGGAACTCACATTGCAAAATGTCGACTAGGCCCGCTAACCAGACCGACTTCTAAAGATGACTTGTGTGGAGAGAAAGGCCATTGGCTTGGAGACATGGCACCCTGACGATCCCAAGTGTACGAACCCTTTTTCTGATCAACCCCAGAATGCCCGGCCCGAGATTGGGTATTAATGCTAACTGGTTGTGTCTAGTGAACGGCTGGTATCTCAGGGCCAAGCCGTGCCCGTTGCATCCGTTGATAGCGAGTTGTATTGATGGAGAATGTAACCCAGACGCAGCAGGCTCTCGACCAGAGGATTTCCCTAAATCGCCATGGGGATTCTCGCCGACAAAACTGTAATGTTGTCAAGTTTGAGTCTTGAATGGTAACCATGTATCTGTCTTGACGGCACACCTTGGCTGGATGCACTTCCAGGGATAGCAATTGGTTCTTTTTAATAACACCGCTTTTACACTGATACCGTGTATCCAAGTTATTGAGTCAGCTCGGCTCTGCATCATCGACGAAGCAGTTGCTTCATCTTGCATATACGGTAAAAAAAAAAGATGACTCTCATCCCGCCACATCATTTGCAGTTGCCGTTGAAGAAGTTGGTCGCAGTCCCAAGATCAAAACGGACTAGAAACAGTGTCAGGAGATGATTGGATCATGGAGGGAGTGGGTGTGGGTGATTGCCTTCTCTCTCTCAAACTGTGCATGTTGAAACACCCTGCACCCATGCCGTGTGTGCCTGTTTACCAGGATGACGGAACTAGCAGAGCTAAAAGCTTCACCCGAACAGGAGCGGTCAGATGTCAAAGCGATTGGGTTCCCGCTGACTGGTTCCCCCGTGGTCTCCCGGATTAGACGGGGAGGCCCGCCTCGTTGCTGGCGTTGTCAAAAGTTGAAAAGAGGCCGTGAACCAGGGGATATGCTAGTGGCAGGTTCGGGCCTCCTGTCGTGGCAGTCAGCCATTTGCATCCATCCATTTCCAGGGTCGTTTCCGACAGTTTAGCTTGTACAACTGTCAAGGAGCGGAGAGAGAGAGAGGACAAAGCAGAAGAAAAAAAAAAGATACACGAGAGAGACCATGCTTCCCGGCATCGTCCTGGACCGGACCCCCGTACTCGGTACCTACCTGGGCCGCCTCATGCAGGCCGTGGCTTCACCGCTCAACGGGGGCGGTCAGGGCGTCGGGCGACCCAGCTGGCTGGATGTGCATCCCCCGAGTAAGTAGATTGGCGGCTGATCATTTGCTGGATTGGACGGGGGTGTCAGGGGTTTGGTTTCTTGGGTTCGAAGCATCTGTGGGCGAATCAAGAGTCATCCGCCACACAAGTTCGAAAAGACGGTAAATGGGAGGACAGGAGCTGGCCGGGTTGCATCCCCGCGCTTTAGAAGCCGAAAACGAACGTTTGCAGAAGCCATCTCTTTCCGCCTTTGCAAGATGCAGTTTGGAACCTCCTCATGCAGGATGAGAAGCAAGGGGGGGTTGGGTTACTTGGTACCTGTGTGCCTTGTGCCTTGTGCCTGTCTTGTCTCTGCCAGCGTGCGCAAGTGTACGCGTGCTTGTTGCTTTTGTGCTTGCTTGTGCATATCCATCCTAGAACATAGTCAAGTGTAGCTCTCACCGACTTCACACCGAAAACGGTCAAATCTCTACCAGCTCTGAATAATCCTCACCCGCTGAGAGGAGTCAGTCGGGTTGCTGCTGTCACAGTCACAGTCACCGTCACAGCCCAGCCCAGTCCAGCCCGCCACTCTCACCAAGCAAGTAGCGGCGTGCCGTCCAGCCCAAGCCAAGGTTTATTAAGAAACCGCCTTATTTTTGCCCCCTTCCCTGCCCGCCTCTTTTCTCTCTCTCTTTCTCTTCCCTACTTAATTCTCTTTGCTTGCTGCATCATCCCGCGTCGTTTTCTTTTTTTGTTTTGCCAATCCACTGTCACGTCACGTTTGAGAAGTGTGTGTGGCTTTGTTGGGGCAAACTTATAAATTAAAGAGAGAAGAAAAAAAAAAAGGTCTTGCTCTCATCCGTTCATCCATTTCCGACCTCTCTCTCTCTCTCTCTCTTCCACCCAACCTCTCTCAGTGTTGCCCACTCAGGCCCATCCATTCATCCACATTGGTCGGCTCCGACTCCGCTACTCTTCCTCTCGTGGTGTTTCTTTCACCTCAACTCAATTCCTTCATCTGCGCCAACGTTTGATCTCATCGTCGTCAACTCAATTCGGCTAGTCTACGGAAAACCTTGGCAGAGCCGCAAGAGCCGAAACCAAACCCAGGACGTGACGTGATTTTTCTTCACGTTTATTCTCAGACCGCTGCTCGCTTGCGTCTTACCTCATGTTTCGACGATACGCGCTCGGCTTTTCGAGCGTCCAACGACAGCTCTCTACCATGAACTCGGGAACTCCTGTCGAGGACACCATCCGGGCCAAGGCAAGTCTTGTCTTTTTCTTGTTGTCGTAAGCGTAATACGCTCAGTTGCTGACCTCATTCCAAAGATCACCGCCGCCTTTGATCCTCAGACACTAGAGATCTACAATGACTCTCATCTGCATGCTCATCACAAGGCCATGCAAGGCAGCACCTCCAGCGAGACCCACTTCCGGTAAGAGTTTCTTGTTGTCTTTTTTGTTGTCTGACTGAGCCTCTCCGCCTTCTCCCGGAGTGATTCATCTTTACTCTGTTTACCTGGTGGCATCGTCTCATTCTTGCCGCCGTCCCATGGCCTCGTTCTACATGTACCTTGTCCTTCCATGGATGTTTCCATGCCGCCTATCCCCGGACCCTCTCTCACACCACCGCCAACCCAACCCTGCACCAGCATTCAACCCCTGGTTCAAGCTAAAAAAGATGCATGCTGCTGACACGTGACAGACTTGTCATTACATCCGACGCCTTCGCCTCCAAGATGCAGCCCGCCCGCCACCGAATGGTCTATGCCCTTCTGCGTGACGAGATGGCCCTTGAGGGTGGAATTCACGCCCTGCAGCTCCGCACCATGACCCCCGAGGAGGAGGAGCGCCACAAGGCCAAGAAGGAGGCCGAAGCCAGGGCCGCCGCCGCCGCCGAGGAGGAAGCTGAGACTTGAACGTCGACAAAGTAATGATTCGACAATGATGACTCTTCTAATGATTAAGGATTATGGATTACGACTGAAAGCTGAAACTGGACCGGAAAAAACAACACCAGAATGTTGAAATGCAACCAAACCAACCAACCGATGAAACCAACCACACGGGGGAAAAACATCGAGGGCGAAAGATCACAGTCGAGATGGGCAGCGAAGTCGTTCGTGCCACGGAGTTTTAGGATGGATCAAGAGAAAAACAAAAGATTGCAGGATACCCCGTGCATGAGACACGCTTAGGAGGAAACGGCGATTTGGAACAGGCGAATTCTCCTTTTTTCTTCTTCTTTAATCACGGCCAAGATCGAGACAACCCCCCAGGTTTTTCTTTTGAAGCAAACCGCCAAAAACAAAAGCTCCTCGGGAGCTCTCGAATCCTGGAACAAAGTTGCCAGCCAGTCAACTTAATTAAGCCAGGCCACAGTCGAGCCAAGCTAGCTTACCATAGACATGTTGCCCACGCACAATAGACAGTTCTTTCCGCCAAAGGGTCACCTCGAAATCTGGGTTCATTTTCGCTCAACTACCTATAGGATACACTTGTTGGCCTCGCTTTTCTGCGACTGGATATACATCTCGCCTGTTTTCTCTGCCACTGCACTACAAGGCGTGCTAATAAACCATGACAGTTCAAGATAAACGATTCCCCTGGGTATCAGTTCAACACCAACACAAGACCTGACCTCGGAACGCCGGCACTAAACACCTTGCACGTCAAAAACACTCATAGCAGCTCCATGACGCCTCAAACATGTGCAACAAACCTACTACTCGAACTGACTACTGCTCCGCGTACTACGCGCATCCGCCCCGTTCAACGACCTCCTTTTGAAATGCTCCCTGAGTCTTGCGCGCTCCTCGGCACTGCGCCCGCCTGGCGTCGAGCTGAGCCTGCTCGAAGAGAGTCTCTCAAAGTACTGCGACGTCCGAGGCGCCCGCGATCTTGTAGATGGCGTCGCGATGGTTGATGGCGGCGCCATGGACGTTCTGGGGATCTGAGGTGAGGGCGGGGCTGGAGCCTGAGTCAGAATCTCTCGGGGACGCGATGAGACCGGTGGTGGCGCCTGGGTTGGCGTTTCCCGGGGACGCGATGAAAATGGTGGTGGCGCTTTCACGATCGGCCTTCGAGGCCTGGAAGTAGACGGTAGTGTTGGCGCTGCCATCGGTCTTTGCTTCAACACCGACTTGTCCGAGACCTTGGATGACGGCTGTCGCGAAGGAGCCGCTTTCAACACTGCGGGAGTTGCCGGCGCATCAATGTCCATGGCTCCGTCGATGCTCAAAGGGGCAGGTTGCTTTGATCCCGCACCTCCTTTGCTACGCCAGCGCTGAGACAATTTGTCAGACGAGGCACTGGGATTCGACACGACATCATCGTTGTCAGATTCTGACTCGTGATCCGAGCTCGTGTATATGCTAATGTCATCGGCCTTCATCATGGTCATGCTCGCCTTGGCCACCTCCTCGGGGTAAGACTTGAGGATGAAGTTGAGGTTGCCCCGGTTCACCACGTACTGACTGTAAGTGGGCTTCTCAGACAGCTTGTTGAACCACTCGATCGCGACCAGGGTCTTTTGCTTGTCCTTCGCACTTTCGACGTACTCCTTGTAATCTTCTGTGAATGCACGGATGAAGTCGTCATACAGATAATCCCTGAGTTTCTTCCGTCGGCGGAGCCAGTTGAGATAGACGCAGGCGATGACAAAGCTCATTTTGGTACCCGCTTCCTTCCGGCCCCAGTCATCCTCAGCGAACATTGGATAATGATGGAGGAAGACTTCGTATGGTTCCTTACTGGCTGAGGGACCAATGCACAGTGGCGGACAGACCTTGCTCTGTGAACCCTGACGACCATTCACCTGCATGGGCGAGGTTTCCACCTGGGGTTGAGCGTCTGATTGTTGCGCAGCGACTGGTTTCTGGCTACTTCGTTTCATGGGGGTTTTGGCGTTCTGGTGAATTTCGGGTGCTTCAATGGATTGCATGATAGATTCACCTTCCCGATTCGAAGGCTCCGCCACTGGTGGCTCATCGTCCGATCGCGTTGATTCATTGGCGTCGTGATCGGACTCGTTCTCCTCAATGGATTGTATGACAGACTCCTGTGTCGCAGTCGATTTCAGAGTGGCAGGGATGACGGGGTCGGACGATGTTGGGATGGAGCTCTCGACAGTCGCAAATGTCTTTGTTGCCGGTAGGCGGTTCGGCATGTGATGGACCTTTTTCTCTGTATCCCCAACATTGATGCCTTTAAATATTCGCCGGGACTGCCGTTTTTTGGTGGCAGCAAGTTCTTGACATGTCTCCCTTGGGGCAACGACAGTGTTTGGAATAGTAGGTTGGGTGGGATTAGACGGTTGCGCACATGGCGGTGTGGCCATTGGTTTGCTGGAAATCGGCATAGGAACTGGAGCAGTTGGTTCGAGGCGAGCTGCTGTCCGATTAACGGGGGCGCCGGGTTGCGGCATGCCCTGGGGGATCTCGGTTTCTAATTCGTTATCGGATTCGTCCTCAGACGGTTCAAAAGGACTGGGCCGTTTCGGGGGAGGTCCCCGAGCTGCCTTGGGCGTTTCTTGAATCATCGAAGACTGGACCATTGTCGTATTGATGGCCACATGAATCGACTTGGAGGGGCCAGGTCGAGTGGGAGATGGCTCCCAGGAGATCTCTCGTTCGGGTGACGATTGTGCTGGCTCCTCCGATTCTTCTCTTGGGGTATTTGTGATGCCATTCCGCATGCGCTTGCTGCTCGTAGATGCCACGGCACTTCCATTTCGTTTTCGCGACTTTGGTGTAGAATTGTCGACACCGGCTTTCTGGGCCGTGTAGGCCTCCTTCACCGTCTGCAAGACATGCCCCGGGACATGCGCAAGCCCATGAGGTGTATTCTTCAGGTCGACCGCCCAGGAATCTGAGTCCTCCAGTAGCTCCTTCTGATCCCGCGGGATATTCGTCAAATTGCGTCGTCTGAAGAGGTCGGTGACGTCCTCCGGAGGGGACGAGGTGAAAGACATTCGCCCGACAGATTGCCCGACGCCACTGGCGAAGGGCGTTACATCTGCTTTACCGTGATACTCGATGAAAGGGAAGCGAGGAGATGCAAGACAATCGGGACAATCGACGGATAGTGGCGGGCGGTATTCGGCTGCAGCGATGCGCGAGGGAGGTGAGAGCGAGGATCGCGACAGGCCTTGGCTCGTCGCGACAAGGGATTTGCCTCGATGACGCTCAAGAGAACTCCTTGTGCGAAACAAATAGAAGGGTGCGGACGGATATGTAGCGCGACGCGACGGGTAATTTTGGGCCGCGTCGTCGGAATCTGCGGGGTCTGGTTGGGGAGGGTGAGCCCTTGCGTGGCAGGCTGGCTCGTGCTTGATCGGGGCTAAGTACTCGGTACTTGGGTGGGCTCCCAGGGTGGCGGTGAAGATAGGGTCGTATTGTATCGGGTACTCCCAAGCCGTTAGCGTCTGTCGCTGCCTACCAGGGTCTGACGCCATCACGCATCCAACTTGGACGCCCCAAGCCAAGCTTGCTCTTGAACTTTGAACTTGACGACGCACAGCCGCGACTAGCTGCGCGGGACAGCATTCCTTCGGCGCCCGATGGACGCTGCTGCTGCTCTTTCGTCATCTTTCTGAGCTTGACTTGCCTGTCTCAAACTCCAACCCGTCTATGCGACACACGACGTTAGCCTGGCGCCGTCCCGCCTCCCGCCTCCCAAGCCCTTGCCGGTGTCCTTGTTTCCCCACGACGTCGTCCTCACCGATCAGCGAACCCTGAAGATCGGCTGTGTCTTCTGGTGGCCACTTTCCAGTGACGAGGTGTTGGCTTACTCTTTGAAACATCTTCGAGGCCACCATGCTGCCGACATCTCGAGCTTGCTTATGACGATAACGGGCAAACGTCACATGGAATGAGTCCTGGGCTTCCAGGGCCTTGCAACTGACGATTGTTTTGCTGTCGTTTATCAACCTTTGACTCGACAACTCCCGAACCGACCTCGAACTTTCCAACGTCTTTCACCTCGATCTATAAACCATAAACAAACATCATGTCAGGGGCTGCTTCAGCCTCTCCTCCTTCGGCAAGCTCACCGGCCCGAACCCGCCGCGATTCCATCAACTCTATATCCGCCGCTTCTACCACCGACAAGGGCCAACTTGCCCATACACTTGACAAGATACACACCTCTGCGAGCCAGTGTGACTCTCTCACCACCTTCAACGACTTTGCACCGCCCCCTACAGCGGCTCCAACATCCGAAAACAAAGGGACTGCAGGTGATCTGGTGCAGCAAGGATTTAGCGGTCTCTACAGCCGACTGAGGGAAGCTGTGGGTGCTGGAGGCTCCTCAAAAGCACCGCAAGAGCAAGCAGTGTCAGAAAAATCGGAACCCTCTTCAAAGCGGACGTCGATCGTTGGAAACCATGCCTCGAAAGCTTCAATCAGCTCGCTTAGTCGGGCTGACACAGGCGCAACCTTGTCTACCACTTCGTCCCAAATCCCTCTCACGACTGATGGAGGCTCGCTTAACGCCGGTGTAGCTGCTGAGACACGTTCACAGCAATCTCAGTCCTCGAAACCATCGAGTATCAGTCTCATGTCAGGGCAAAAGTCTAACACCACCAGTCGTCAGAGCTTTTCCGGAAAGGCACCCAGTTCTATTGCTGTTGATCCTACGATTGCTCCTGTTACGGTGCACAGGGATGCTAGCCATAGTACCCTACGCACTGAGGAAAGTGCTGGCATTGGTTCAAGTCGAAAGAGTATCAGCAGCAGGGCCGATCTCCAGGCCCACCTCTCGACAGCTGAATCGTCGGCCAACTTGTACGACTTGAGAGACGGAAAACTACCACCCAGATCGAAGCGGGAGGACACTTCAAGTATCGACGAAAGTCTCAAAAGCCCGACAAGTCCAAGGCATCCTCGTGCTCCTTCAATACAGACTCGAAGTGTTCGTAGCCCGTCCATTACCTCGTCCTTGTTATCTCCCGACAGCATCAGAAGGAAGCCTGCAGTCATTGATCGGATCAGCCGGTCGAGGTCCCCTGGTGGCCAAGACTCAAGAGAATCTTCTCTGGACCGAGGGACTGCAGAGCCCAGCCGCATCAGCACCGTTGCTCACGATTCCGTGTGCCATGAGTCCTTCTCACAGGGCCCAAAGCCGCAGAAAATGGCGTCGGGCGATATCAGGATACCTGGCACAGCCATCAGCAATGATGAGGCCTCTGAGCAGGTCAACGCACAACTCACACGAATGCGCAAGCAAGTTTTGAGTAAGGAGTTCTGGATGAAGGATGATACCGTCAAGGAGTGCTTCCTTTGCCAGACTCCTTTCACCGCATTCAGAAGAAAACATCACTGCCGAACCTGTGGCTGCATCTTCGACTCAAAATGTACTACGGTCATATCGGGAGAGAAATTCGGCGTACAGGGCTCACTGCGTGTTTGCAAGCGGTGTCTCGATGTCATCACCAAGCGTTTCGATGGGAGTGGTTCAGACGACTCGGGAGACGAGCAGTCCTTTATGCCGAGATTCTTTGGCACCAACCACGCCAAGACCCCCAGCAATGCCAGTCAATCAAAGGCAAGAGAGAGGGAGCCTGAATCCGGAGTTGCATCAGAAGGCTCAGAAGACTCCCGGCCTGTTTCTACCCCCATGATGACTATTCCTGCAACACGCCGCATCGGGGAATCTCGTACCGCTGCCGTCCTTGAAATCGACGCACCTCAGCTCAGCAGACCAGGTTCATCAAGATCACTCAAATCGCTGACTGGGCGCCCTCACTCTTCTGCAGGCCACAAACGACACCATTCCAAGCACAGTGGCTTCCTTGGCCGCTTCAAACCTGCCCCTGAAGAGAGGGCGCCCTTCCGTCGAGGAATTGACGATGAGAATGCCAAGAAGCCAAAGTTTCCTGCCTTTCATGCCGATAATATCATTGATCCGGAGCTGGCTGATTACATGTCTGACGAGTCAAGTGAGGACGAGCAGATGGGCATTTTTGCTACAATGACTGGTGACTTGCAGCCTGGAAGTCTGGGCGACGACAAGTCGGAACTCGCACCTTATGTGAACGCTGGTAGGAAGTATCGTCACAGAGCAGGCGAGAAGAGCATCAGCGGTATGAGTTTCGTAAGCAGAGGGGGATTTGATGAGCTTCCTAGCAGCCTCGTTGGGCATCGACGGGCACCGAGGCGCCGTAACACCAGCAACGTCAGCGGCAGTATGCATCACCTACCGTCGCCACGCCCAAAATCTGCAGTGTACAAGGGACCGTCACAATCGTCCGAGATGCTCTTTTCTCTAGACACTCCCCATCAAAGTGGAAATCAGATCACTAGGAGTGATTCGCTGCAGCACAAGAAAGCGCCCAAAGCCGAACTCAACTCGTCAAGCCTGAGACACGTCGACAAGCTCTTGCATCAGCTACTGGACGATGCTGAAATCTCAAATCCACCAGCATGGCAGAAGGCATTGGTCCCAATCCTTCTGCGGGCAACAGACGATGTGGATCCAGACGTGGCCAAGGGAGAAGACATGGACATTCGGCACTATGTCAAGTTGAAAAGAATCCCTGGAGGCAAGCCTGGTGACACTGCCTACATTTCTGGGGTCGTTTTCACCAAGAATCTGGCCCTCAAGAGCATGCCGCGCAGGATCACCAATCCACGAGTGCTGCTTGTTACATTCCCTATTGAGTACCAACGGCACCAACAGCATTTTATGAGCTTGCAGCCCGTCATCGAGCAGGAAAAGGAGTTTCTGCGAGTTGTGGTTCAGAGGATCACGAATCTTCGCCCTCAAGTTCTCCTTGCTGAGAAGAGCATCTCGGGTGTTGCGTTGCAGTATCTCTCCGAGGCGAACATCTCAGTGGCTTACAATGTTAAGCACACAGTCATTGAGGCGGTCGCTCGGTGTGCTGAGACAGACATTATCTCTTCCCTGGACATGCTGGCCTTGCCCGTACAAATTGGACGATGCTCTAGTTTTGAGGTCAGAACGTTTGTAAACAATGATTATCCGGGCCGCAAGAAGTCGTACATCTTCTTGTCTGGTTGCACACCGGAGCTCGGTTGCACTATTGCCCTACGCGGTGCCAACAGCATGGTCCTGTCCAAGGTCAAGCACATCATGGAGTTTATGGTCTATGTCGTCTACAACCTTAAGCTTGAGTCGAGCCTTCTTCGAGATGAGTCGATCGAGCCTCCGGAAGGTGGCGACTCTATGACAAGCTCTTTGCATCTTCTGGGTGATAGCATCAGGTCATTGAGCGTCAACAGCGTCGATCATTCTAAGGATGGTCCAGCTGTCGTGGTCAATCAGCCTCCAGGAGAGAGCGAGCCGCCTTCACAAACAACTGTGGACAGCGCTAGCATTGCTGGAACAGATGAAACTGGATCTTTGAACCAATCTGGGCAACTCGCCCAAGAACGCGCAAGACTCGTTTCTCTCCAGGAGCACGATCCCGTCGTTCAGGATCAGACTAGCCAAGTCCCGGATGATGTCCCTATGCCCACATACTATAGCGACATGGTGTCCAAGTATGAGACCAAGATTCTGTCTGCCTCACCGTATGTCAAGTTCACGCAGCCATATCTGCTGATGAAGGCTCGTGAGCAGGAGAGGCGACTGCTCTACCTGCGAAGACTCCGTGACCACGACTACTACGAAGAGAAGGGTGACCCGGAGAAAGCAGAGCCACAGCGTTTCCAGCTTATCAAACCTGAGATGGTCGAGGAGATTGGTCAGAAGGCACCACAACAGATTATGGAAATTCTTCGCGCTGTCCACGATGCTGAGTACGACAAGGCCTTGTACAACTACGAAACTCATACCCGCCAGTGGGAGACGTACATCCAAGGTAACCTCGATCTGTTTGATCCCTACTCGCATCAGAACATCGTTGTCCTGTACTCGGTCATCTGCACCGAGACAAAGATTCCATGTACTGAACCATCTCTGGTCGCCATCAACTTCTATGATGAGCAGCACATTGACACTGGCATGGACCCTGACTGCACCTTGGGACAGTACATCGAGGACCTCGCATACACCATGGACCAGGTCTGCACATCAAACGGCTGCGAACGCAAGATGCTTCAGCACAATAGGACCTATGTACATGACCAGTCCCGAATCACGGTTTTCGTTGAAAATGTGCCCAACACCTCGACACGGCCCGAGTTCGCAGACGGGATCACAATGTGGACGTATTGCAAAATCTGCAAGAAGGACACTGAAGAAACGCTCATGTCTGAGGCGACATTCAAGTACTCTTTTGGTAAATACCTGGAGCTCCTTTTCTGGGGCCGCGGTCTCAGGATGAAGGATCTTCACGACTGTCCTCATGATCACCATCGAGACCATGTCAGGTACTTCGCCCTTCAAGATGCGAGAATTCGTATTCACTGGGACCCTGTCGATCTGCTGGAGATCGTCGTGCCTCGAGCAAGAATCACCTGGAAGGTCACGAACGATCTGAAGCTCAAGAAC